CGTGGGACTTGTGCCCCTGGAGGGGCAGCGGGAGCGCATGGACGTGCGGGGGAGGGCGGGAGGACGCGTGGACGGGCGGGGGGAGGCCAGCGTGGACGGTGCAGGGAGGGCGGGGAGGCGCGCGTGGAAGAGTGTCGGGGAGGGCGGGGAGGGCGCGTGGACGGTGCCGGGGGAGGCGCATGGACGTGCGGGGGAGGGCGGGGAGGGCGCGTGTACGGTGCGGGGAGACCGGAGCGCCCCTTTCCGGTCACCCTCTGGGACAGCAGCTGTCACCATGGGGCGGATGAGAAGGGCTGCTCGTGTTCTTTCCCGCTCCTCAACGACACGCACGGGTTGTGCAGATGCGCTGCGCAGCCAGGCCCGTCACTAGGGCTTATTTTCGGGGTGGGGCTTCTATTGCGCACATGCTTAGACATCCTGCTGGGGCTTATTTTATGGGGAGGTCTTATTCTCAGGGAAACACGGTATGTAGAAAGTTTATTTCATTTAACCCTGACAATCGATTTTGGGGAAATGGATATCATTGCCTCCATTTCACAGATGAAAAGAAACCGCCGCACATAAAGGTGTCCGGCGCTTTGCCCGCGAGTGAGCCGACCCGGGCAGCAGCTTTGGAACGCGCGGCCCGGCCTTCCAGTCCCCGCCCCGCGCCCCAGTCTCTCCCTCCGCAGACACCGGGAGCACCGGCGAGTGGCCACATGGACGGGAGATGGCATTGCAGGAAACAGCGAGAACCTACCACGTCCACACGGAGCAGACGGCCGGCGCGGCAGCAGGGACAGGGCTGCGGTCTGGGCAGGTCTGCGGGGAGCGGTGCAGGGACCCGCGTGGGAAAGGCACAGAGAGGAGAGGACGCACACGTGCGCCGGGGGTCCGCGCGAGGGACGCAGAGCTGGGCAGGAGCCGGCGGGGACGCTGGAGGGAAAAGCAAACTCTTGCTCCAGACGGAAGAAACGAGGCGCGTGCCCGGTGGCGAGGACAGCCCCGCGGGGAGGGCGGCGTGGACGGTGCGGGGGAGGGGCGGTGAGGTCGGGAGGGCGGGGAGGCAGGCGTGGACGGTGCGGGGAGGGCGGAGGCGGCGTGGACGTGCCCTGGAGGGCAGGAGGGCGGCGGACCTGGACGTGCGGGGAGGGCGGGAGACGCGTGGACGGTGCGGGGGAGGGCGCGTGGACGTGCGGGGGAGGCGGGGGGAGGGACCGTGCACGGTGCGGGGGAGGGCAGCGGGACGTGCGGGGAGGGCGGGGAGGGCGGCGGGGAGTGCGGGGAGGGCGGGAGGGCCCTGGAGGCAGGGGGGGGAGGGGTGGACGGTGCGGGGGAGGGCGGGGAGGCGCTGGACGGTGCAGGAGGGCGCGGGAGGCGCGTGGAGGTGCGCGGGAGGCGAGGGGCGCGTGGACGGTGCGGGGGAGGGCGGGGAGATGCGCTCGCTCCGCGCCGCTGCTGAGTGTGCCATGGGGGCCGCAGGCGCTGGGGAGGCGGAGGGGGCGAGGGGAGGTTAGCAGAGGGTGCAGCGTGGGGAGGGGAGGTTGGCAGAGGGGGTCCAGGGGGTCCGTGCTCACAGGGCAGCTTTGCCGGCTGCTCCCATGCTCTCAGCACAAGAGAAACCAGGTCACGTGGAGAGGAGAGAAGGGGAGGGACAAGAGGAGGGGAGGGACAAGAAGAGGGGAGGACAAGAGGAGAGGAGGGACAAGAGCAGCTGTCTGGGGAGGGCAGGCAGCCGGGAGGGGCCCCAAACCTGCCAGCAGCCCGGGGGACAGGGGAACTCCCAGGAGTGGAAATTGAGGTCGTCATCACCACGACCATTTTCTGTCTTCCTTTATTTATTTATTTATTTTTTTCTTTTTTGGAGACAGAGTCTCGCTTTGTTGCCCAGGCTAGAGTGAGTGCCGTGGCGTCAGCCTAGCTCACAGTAACCTCAGACTCCTGGGCTCAGGCGATCCTCCTCCCTCAGCCTCCCGAGTAGCTGGGACTATAGGCATGCACCACCATGCCTGGCTGATTTTTTCTATCTATTTTTAGTTGTCCAGGTAATTTCTTTCTATTTATAGTAGACACGGGTCTCGCTCTCGATCAGGCTGGTTTCGAACTCCTGACCTTGAGCAATCCTCCCAGAGTGTTAGGCTTACAGGCGTGAGTCACCGTGCCCAGCCGGGATCATTCTATTGATCTTGTGCAGGTCAGAACCATTCTAGATCAATGACTGGGAAGAAAAAGGGAAAGATGCTTGTCAAACTTGGCTGCACAACTGGGTCTGCAGCGGATAACTGACACTACAGGTAGTGCTCAGGACTCCACATGATTTTATGCGGCTGGAATTCTGAGCTGGAAGCAACAAGACACAGAGGTAAGAAAATTTTCCCCCAGGCACCACGGTGGCTCATGCCTGTAATCCCAGCACCCTAGGAGGCTGAGGCGGGAGGATCGCTTGAGCCCAGGAATTTGAGACCAGCCTGAGAAATGTAGCAAGGCACCATCTCTACAAAAAAATAAATCTAAAAGTTAGCCTGGGACGGTGCAGCACGCCTGTGGTCCCAGCAGCTCAGGAGGCTGAGGCAGGAGGAGGATCACTTGAGGCCAGGAGTTGGAGGCTTCTGTGAGCTGTGATCCCACCACTGCACTCCAGCCTGGGCGACAGAGATCCTGTCTCTGATTAAGTAAATAAATGAACAAATAAGGAATTTCCAAACACGTAGACCAGAAGGATCCTGCCTGGAACGCTGTTGTCCAGCAGACATAGAACACGAGCCATGCAGGTAAGTTTTAATTTTCTAGTAGCCACATTAAAAAGGTAAAAAGGAACTGAGGAAATGAAATTTCAAAATATTTTTGTTTTGACTCAACATATCCAAAATATAATGCCTTCGACACGTAATCAGTATAGAAATTAGCCAGGGGACATTTTACCTTTTTTTTATACTAGGCCTTCAGGATTGGGCGTGCATGCCAGGTTTAGGGCGCGTCTCCGCTGAGGCTCGGCTCACTTGAGCGTTCCATCGCCACACGCAACCGGAAACCACCGCACCCACAGCGCAGGGCGAGAAACTGGGACAGGTACAGTTACCAGGCGAGCGTCGTGGATGACAAGTCTGACATGAGCCGCTGTGATAGATAATCCTGTCCTGGGCAGTGCTGCTGGTGTGGAGTGTTGACGACCTGTCGCCAAAACAACACGGCGTGAGCCACAGCCCCGACACCCCCGTGCTGTGCAATCCTGTCCCCTCTGGTCCCCCGGTGGGCTGGGCGGCTCCACCAACTGGGCCAGCCCCCGCCCCGCACCGTGTGCTGTGGGCAGGTCGGCCGGCGCCGGCTGGGGCAGAACGCACGACGCAGGTGTCCCAGGTGAGCTCTCTCCTCCTCACACAGGCACCGGACGTCCAACAGAGACCTCCCCAGCCAGACCCGGGCCAGCACGCGCGCACCTGTGCCGTGCTCCGCTGACCGCCGAGAGTCTAGGCGGCGCTTGGGCTGGGGAAGCAGCTCCGCCTCCCGACGGGAAGAGCTGGGAAATGCCTCCCCCCCAGAAGGGTGGGGACGCCGGGAGCCCAGTCACTCAGCCCTTGGTGGCACCGGGGGGCGGGTTCAGGCGTGGAAGCGAAGATTCCTACTCTGATCCGTACGCTGATCAGACGGGTGATGAGTGGATCGTTTCTTCCAGGCCTGGGCACCTTGCACGTCTTGGGTGAGGTGTAAACGACACCCAGGACGGCAACCTGGGGCCAGGCCCCTCTACAGAGTCACAGGCACCGAGGGTGCTCAGTCCCCGAATGAGAGCGTCAGGGAACGGCACAGAAGCCGTCAGCAGACCGTGAAGAGCTGCCACGCGGAAGGAAGCAGCCCTCTCGGTTCCCCTCCTGCTCCCTGCGGGCTCCACACACACCGTGCCGTGCCGGGAACCACGCCGGGTGCAGAGACAACAGCAGCAGGAGGGGAGCTCAGTAGATTTCGGCTCATCCAGAGGAGGACTTTCTGGCAAATCAAACAGTCGTCAGCACAAAGCACTCCTGCTGTCCCCCGGGCAAGGCCTGACAAGGAAAGTCCTGGGCGGCACCGCAGGGGGGGATTTCTCACCCCGCTGTGCCCACAGCCCCGCCAGCTCTCAGCGCAGCCAGCCGGCCCTGCAGTGCGCCGGTTTGATTTGTGGGGGGCCTGCCCCGCCTCGCAGCAGCGGGAGTTCAGACAGCTATCTAATCAGATACAGCCCCCTATCTGGCCACCATCTGCCCGAGTCCCCGGGTGTTTCGTAACCATCTTGCTGCGCTGAAGGGCAAGGAAGTACAGCACGGTTTAGTGACTCGCGATCACATGAGCCGGCGGCTGGCCTGGGAGGAAGCAGAGGAGCCCGCGGCCGGCCGGCTGCTCTCCGAGTTCCCGAGTGTAACCACAGCCAGAGAGAGCGCTGCATGTGCGCCCAGGCCCCGGGAGAGCCGGGCTGATGGATGTCTCCTTGGCACAGAGAAGTGACCTGCATGCGCTTGCCTGGGCTGCCCGTGCACACGAGAAACACCCACAGAGCAGAGTCAGGACTCGGGACTGCAGGTGTCAGGCTCCTGTGCAAGGTGCAATAGTGTCGCACAGAGCTCCGCTTCCTGCAAGGGTTGGGGTTAGAGCTAGGGTTAGATGTCCGGGAAACCTGAAGGCCCTCGTGGTGGAGATGCTGGGGGGAGGGACGGGTGGCGACACTGAGCACGGCAGGAGTGAGAGGCAGCGAGAGAGGCCGTGGGTGCCCCTGGACCTCGGGATGCTGCCTGTCTCGGGAGGAGCGGGAGAGGCCCGGGGACAGACCTGGGTTCCCCGCAGGTGGGCAAGCGTGCAACAAGTAGCCCACGGCAGAGAGTAGCAGCGGCTGGCCCGTGGTTTGCTTCATGCTGAGTTTGCAGGGCTCCGGGAAGCAGGAGGGCGAGCCTGCATCAGAGCCCGGGGCACCCCCAGGAGCAAAGAAGTACCTTCCCTTTCTTTCAAGGGTCAACTTCACTGAAACTTGTCTGGCGGTTGGGAGGGTCTAGACGGAAGCCCACTGGCCAAAGAGCCCTCGGGAGCCCCCAGCGAGGTAAAGCCCCGAGGGAAGGAGGACTCAGGAGGGAACAGGACTCCGGATCTCGGGTGAACGAGGCTGGTCTCAGCACGAGGGAAGCTCCTCCTCTCTCACCAGGGCACCGGGCATCTGGGGGAGACGCTGAGCATGTGCCCTTAGCCCGCGGTGGTGTCATCTTCCGTTGCAAGGCCGCTTGAGTCTGCACGGGGTTCCAGACTGACCGCAGCCGGGCACCTCGTGGTCCCCCACAGCACCTGCTCGCCCCGTGACCGGGACAGCGGCAGCAGGGAGCATGCCGCGGGCAGCCAAGCCAGGGACGCACCACAGCTTCGTGTCTCCATCAGAGACGCCTCGGGAAGCCGGGCAGGCCCCTCTCGGCCAAGCTCCCGGGAAAGCGTGTGGGGGAGTGAGGCGTGGGCAGGGAGGGGACGGGGCAGCGGGAGATACAAGACACTCTGCTGGTACAGGCTGAAGAGTGACCCGAAAACCACTTTGACTATCAAAAGACAGGACGTGTCCCTCCACCGGCTCATCGGGGGCAGGACGCCCAGCTGGTGGCACTGGCCACTCTCCGTGGCAGGAACGCCCCACCACGGCCGACTTGGAGCAGCCGACCTCAGGCCACTAAACGGGACTGCGAAGAGAGGCGCATCTGGGCCGGCGCACGGCCGCTCGCAGCACGGGAGACTCCGGAAACGGCAGAGTGGAAGAAGCCAGGGACAAAGGAGGACCTTCCAGAGAGTTCCACCTACATTAAATTCCAGGGGAGACACCCGGCGTAGGTGACAGGAAAGAGATTGGTGGTGCCTAGAGCCAGGCGGGGAGGGCCGGGGAGGGGCTGGCAGAAGAGGAGGAGCCCAGGGAACTCGGGGTGGGGAGGAGTGAAATGTGCCCATATAAATTTGCCAAAACTCAGTGAAATTACCCTGAAAATGGATGCATTTTGTTGTATGTCAATTGTCTCAATAAAGTTGATATTAAAAAAAAAAATCTGTGACTCTTCTCCCAGGCCAGAAAAGACAGTGTTAGGCTGACTTCAGTGCTGGGGACAGGGCAGCGCTGAGGCCTCACGCCGCGAGCTTTGCGCAGGAAGGCTGCGGCGGGCGCAGCGGGCGGGACATTGGGAAAGGAGACGCCTGCCGGCTCCCGCTGTTGCAGATGTCCCTGGTGTGGGCAGGAAACAACCGGTCAGGCTCGGCCCTCCTCGCCTCCCTCCCCGAGCCTCGCCCGGCCCAGGCCTTGTCTGCGCCCATCCTAAGGGCCCGACCCTCCGCCAGCGTCCTTAACCGGGCACCACAAACGAGGTGGTTTGCAACAGCAGGAATTTATTTTCTCAGCATGCGGGAGGCCGGGCGTCTGGAATCAGGGTGCCAGCTCCCTCTGGGGCCCCGCCCTGTGCCTCTCCCCGCTCAGGTGGCCCGCACGCCTTGCGTAACCCCGGCCTCTGCCTCCATCTCCGCCCAACCTTCCTCCTGCCTCCCCCTTGTTTATTCGGCCCGCCCCACGGCCCGCCCCACAACCTCGAGGCCCGTGACTGATCCCATCTGCAGAGGCCGTTCCCCAGCAAGGCCGCGTGCTGAGGTTCCAGGTGGACCAGCATGTTGGGGAGACGCTGTCCGACCTCCTGCACCCCCCAGATTGTCTGCACTGTCTGGATCCTCCGCTGGAACTCCAGACACGGCATCTGCGCTCAGAGCATCCAGAAGAAGCTGAGATATCCGAAACCAAGCTCGACTGTCCCTGTGCCCAGACCTGCTCCCGCCCGAGTCCTGCCGTCCCGGCAGCGGGCACTCCTTCTAGCTCCTTCTTGCCGTCCTCCCGAATTCCCTTTCTCCACGCCAAATGCATACTAGAATCCGCTAGGCTCTCTCTTCTCGGCCTGGCGTCTGTCCTGGACCCCACGTCCAGTGACCTCACGCCCTGGCCTGCTCCCCACGGGGACCCCCGCCGCTCCCCGCCCGGTCTGTTCTCCCCGCGGCAGAGACAGCGAGACTGTCGGCACTACTCGTTGCTGTCTGTACCTGCCCCTAAGTGCCCAGAAGGACACCTGCAGCCTCACCACGGCACACAGGCACGTGGACGACACGACCCCCCACTCCTGCTTCCCGACACGCTCCCCCGTCCTGCACCGGTCGCCCTGGCAACCGCGCCTTTCCTGGGACTTGTGCCGCCTCCTCCCGGTTCAGGGCCCTGGTTCTTGGATGCCTCCCCCGACAGCCCGCACGCCGGCCCGTCCCTGCCGCCCTACTGAGAGTCCCCAGCCGTGTCTCCACTGCTGGCTCTTGTCTGGCTGTGGCGTCCCCTGGACACTGTCCCTGCCTGGCACCTCTGTCCCTGTGCTGCTGCCAGGGCACTCTGCCCGCCCTGCCCCCGCACCCCCCATCCCCCGCTGGCAGGAGGGCCCCGCAAACAGCAGGTGCTCAAGGCATGTCTTTTGAGTGAATGCATGAATGAAGCAGTGACGGACGTGAAAACTCAGAGGGGCGTGGGCGTTTTGCAAAGCTCGTCTTTCGCCTCAACCTTCAGCCCGATCTGGTGCTCGGCCTCAGCCCATGCGCGCCCAGGGAGAGGCCGCAGCAATCTGGGGCAACCAACTTCGTGATTTGTCATCTGAAAAGGGGAAGAGGTTTCGACTTGAAAGAGGAAAAAACAGCAGACGGCCTCCGCGAGGAACGCTTACGCGAAGTCCGCCGGCGGCCGGCCAACTTCCCCTCCCGCGTCTGCCGGCTCTGGGCCCGCCGCACGCGCCGGCCGCCCTGCCCAGGACCACGGGACATCACAGGCCACGGGACATCACAGGCCGCGGGCCAGGGCGGCTTTGCAGCTTGGCGAGAGGACACAGAGGCGCCCGCCGGCCGCTGCATGACCGCACTGCAGGACAGCGCAGGGGCCACGTGACCTCACCGCAGGGCGACACAGAGGCGCCCGCCGGCCGCTGCATGACCGCACTGCAGGACAGCGCAGGGGCCACGTGACCTCACCGCAGGGCAGCGCAGGGGCCGCGTGACCTCACCACAGGACAGCGCAGGGGCCGAGAGACCTCACCGCAGGGCAGCGCAGGGGCCGCGTGACCTCACCGCAGGGCAGCGCAGGGGCCGTGTGACCTCACCGCAGGGCAGTGCAGGGGCCGTGTGACCTCACTGCAGGACAGCGCAGGGGCCGTGTGACCTCACCGCAGGGCAGTGCAGGGGCCGCGTGACCTCACCGCAGGGCAGTGCAGGGGACGAGAGACCGCACCGCAGGGCAGTGCAGGGGCCGCGTGACCTCACCGCAGGGCAGTGCAGGGGCCGTGTGACCTCACCGCAGGGCAGCACAGGGGCCTCTCGACCACAGTGCAGGAGCTGCACAACCGCTCCGCAGGGCAGCGCAGGGGCGCTCACACCCAACCGTGCTGCTCCTGAGATTCCCTCTGACGCTGACATTTCCCGCCGTGGTCCTGTCACTGAAGGCCGCGAGCCTGCCGGGTGGAGCTGCGTGAAAAACAGGGCACAGAGGACATGGGAGTGTCCTCGGGAGGGAGACACGAAGCAGCACAGGCTCTTCCCTGACACCGGGGTGGCCGAGCCAGTCCAGTGCACAGACTTTGGACTCCCGTCACCATTGAGTCCTGACTCTACCACTGCGCACCGGATGGTTTGTGTGAATTGCTCTCCCGGGGCCTCACTGTCCTCACGTGTGACACGGCTGGAAGCTGCGCCCTGCACACCCGTGGGCGCTGAGGCTCGAGGAGCTGAGCGGAGAGCACGCGAGTCCCGCCTGAGTGGCCACGGCCGCCCGCGCGGAGGAGGGCTGATGTTGGGTCCACCCAGCTGAGAAGGTGGCCCCGGGGTCCACCGAGCCAGGAAA